CCAGGCTAGGGTTCCGGCGGCGGGCGCAGCCGCGGGTTCCCCGACCGATGGGGTCGGGCGGGCGCCTGAGTCACCTGGGCTGTGTGGCGGGAGGGAGCCCGGTGCGGCCGCAGCGCAGCCGCTGCTCGCCTTCAGGCCACGGCGGCCTAGGTGCATTTTCTCGGTGCAGATGAAGTGATAATGTCAGGCTCTCCGGCAGCACCCGTGTCACCTGGTGTGAGTCCGTGCCGGTAGACGTGTTTTCCCCCTCACGGGTGTGTAGTCTGTGTGATAAATGGTTACTAATGCAGCTGGTAGCTCGGAGAGCACTCCCGAAGCTTCAGACGTTCTGTTTTCCTCTGGTCCAAGGAGAATTTTGTCGACGGGGCAATACGGCTTCCATCTTGTGAAGATCTGGAGGCCTGTGCATCTGCAAAAGTTCAGCTATTTCACATTATTTAAAAGCCTTCTCATTTTGCCTAAACTTATGGCTAAATAAATAACACAAATACTGACTAAATAATATGTGTGGAAATAGCGATGTGCTCAAACAGACACGTAGCTTAGGAAAACGTCTATGCTTCGGGTTGTACTGAGCTGAGTACTATCCTGTGAAGCTTTGTTCAGTAGAATGGAACGGTAAAAAAAAAAAAATAAAAGGGACAAATGCAAATAGCTGAGGGCTAAGAATGGGAGGTTTGTAATGGCAGCATAATCTTACCTGCTGTGTAAATAGTTTTAAGGCTTATCTGAAAATCAGATACTCTTTATGCAGGAATCTCAATAAATATGATTTGCTCAGGTGATTGAATATACCACAGTTGCTGCCTTGGCATTTCTGTTCACAAAACTGGTATTTTTGTTCACTTCTAGAATAAATTAATATTTACATTGGCCTTTTTATCTGCTTTTAGCTTTGGCCTCTGGTTTCACACAGCTGGCTAAATTAAATAACTTTTTATTGTTTGTTCCATATGTTGTTAACCCAGAACGTTATGCAATGGGTTTGACTAGCTGGACCATCTTGAGTCTTACATGCTAAAGTATGTTTCCAGCCCTTCAGTCTTTCTGTTGTGTCCTTTCTGGATACTTCCTGTTCTTTCAACATCTGTCATGAATCCTGGGTCACCGGAACTGAGCATTGTGTTCTAGCAGTATAATGTTTGGGGTTAAATACTTACTTTGATTACTATTTGTGTTTAGGCATCCAAAGATAATCTTTTTTCATTCCAGTGCAATATAGCATGAGGAGTTCTTGTTCGGTTCACCACTGAGTAATTGCCAGCTTTCTTATGTCCCAGAAACAGATATCTGTCTTATAAACTGTCTTATAAACATGGCTTTTCTGTTCTTAACTGGCATGATTTCATACATGTCAAATATGAGATATAATTTAACATAACTGCTTTCAGAGTAGTAATATAATTTAATGTTGCATAGACTTACGTGGGAAGTCTATTTAACATTAGATTTTATATATATATGTGCACACGTGCGCACATTTTCCTTTTCTTTAGCAAGGAGTGATTATAATTGTCTGCATAGTCATATTCCAAGCATCTTTCAAATTTTTAAAATTTTTTTTTCACTGTAGATTGGAGATCATGGCTGCTAAGAAACTAAGAAGAGCGAGGTTGTCTGAAGAGCTGTGTGAAAGGCTGAGTCGGTATCAGATAACTACGTGTCAGGTGAAAGGGTTATTTTATGTTCGTGGGGGGTAGATTGTTGGGGTTGGTGTGTTGTGGGGGTTTTTCTCTGTGTGTGGGTGTTGTGTTTTAATGCATACGCTGTTTACTTTTTTGTGGTTTAATTTACAGAGAGCTTTCTATGAAGTAGGGGGCATTTCAGACTCCATCTGGCCTGCTACATTGTAAAAGTGTAGCTTTAAAACAGTAGATGCATAACTACCTTCATTACTAAAGAACCTGAATATGCTTTATTTTAGCTGAGGTGTGTAGCTACTACGTGTATGGAGTAAGACATCCGTTTGTGAACACTTCACAAAAACACATGTATATTACATAATCTAGCGTGTGAATGTGCTCGGATGTTACACTGTCAGTTATGGGTTGTTTCAGCAGTACGTTCTGAAGTTGTTCTTAAGAAGGCTCCACTAAAGAGAGTCAAGAGACCCCATATATTTCAGTAGTATGTATCATAAATATAGGATCTAGCCCTAGGACTGCAGTCTAGAAGACATGATGTATTTTGAATGTTTTTTGGGTAGATGTGAGACTTTTGTGGTCAAAAAGGTGTTATCTTGTTGCAGTTCCATTGCACAGTTCTTGCATCTTTGGTCCTTTGAGCTCAGGTGTCCTTTAAAATATAATTTCTTCTAATATACTGGTCTTGGAGAAAGGTAGGAGAAGTATACCATAATAGCGTATAACATGACACAGTTGGTAAACCGGTGGAATGTATACTAGTTGTGTATAAATTGCATCAGTTTAGTCCCATCTTGGTTTCTAGGTTGCGCTCTCTGAGCTGTTCTATCATCTTTCAGGACTTTTTATGTCTTTCCCTCTTGGAGCTAATGAAAGTGACAGGACAGAGCTACTATGATGTGCAGAAGCTTCTTTGTAAAGTCAGCCGAGCTTGTGCTCCCAAAATGCAGACAGTAAGTATGCTTGTCTTGATTCTGGTTTTGATACAGTGTCTGGGAAAATGCTTAACAGTGTCACTCATCTTTTTACCTGGGAGGTTTGTGACGTCTCAGTCTGATTGCACAGTGAAAGAATACTTTTATTTTTCATTTTAGATCTCTGAGGCACTTCAGTTTGACGCAGTGACTTTTATTAAGCATAATAGCCTCAAGAGATTGTTCAGGCTTGCAGAATCTGTTCTGACTGCAGTAGGAAAATATGGGACTCTCTTGCAATCCAGTATATAAAAATTCCTTCCAGTTTGGACCCTGCAACTTAAAAAAAAAAAAAAAGCAAAGAAGAATAATTTCAGTATAAATTGGTCTTAGACGTAAAATTGGTGCCAAGAAGTGAAGTGATCCTGAGAATAACTTCTTGAGGATTTTTTCCATCCATAACAATGAGCTGTAATGTGGTTTAGACTACAGGCAGCCTAACTGGGAAGAGTGCAAGAAGGAAACAGATGTTAGTTGTAATGCAGTGGTTGGATTTTGTTTTCTTTTTTGAATTCAGGTGAAAAAGTATAAAAAATTATGCCTTTTTCAAACAGAGAGGACACAGGCAGTTCTGACCTGTGTCAATACAGCCTGCTTTTTTTCCTGGAAAAAAAAAAAAAAAGCCATGTCAAAGTTTATTATGTGTAATTGGCATAGTAATTGCAGCAGTAATTATGAAACTTTAAATTCACAAATATACTGCATTAATGTTAGTGATATGCACAATTAATACGACTTCTACTGAAGGAATTAAAAGCTAGCTAATTACTAGTTTTCCATCAGTAACTGTTAATAATAAATAAATTGAAGACAGGTGAAAATTTTACATAGAGTTCTAGTATTTTCTTTTGCCTGTCATCCCCACATCGCTATTCACTCAAATTTCTTTGCTGGGAAGCTTGATAGGTACTGAAGTTTGTCAGACAGCAGTTGTCAAGGACTGTTAATACAGAGCCAGCTGATAGATGACCAGCTAATGTAAGTGCACGTAATACAGAGCTGTACTTCCAGAAACAGAGAATGTGAGTTATTTTTAAGTGATGTGGATTGAATCTCTGCAAACACGGGATTTCAGATGGTCTTCAGGTCAGTGATTGATGTAGCATCATGACTGATACAGCAAGAAGGTTTGACAATATCTTTGAGTAAAAAGCCAAATTAATTAGATAATAGGAGTTATAAATAAGGGGAAAATACTGTCCAGATAAAACATTGGAAGCACTAGCAACAAAACTTCAGAGTATGCCAAGATATACAGTAAAACTCTAATTTCTGGAAAACTTGCCTCACAGTATGAAGTAGAGTGAAGCCTACAGGACTCATCAGAGAGGAAGTTAGTTAAGGGGTAACTTGATCGCATTATATGCTGAGTAGAGAAAATTATACTAGAAGTCTCTAGACTCTAGCTGAACAAAAAGCTGAACAAGATCCAGTGGCTGGAAGACAAATTAAAAAAGAAGTCCCTGAAATAGGAAGTAATAAGCAAATATTTAGAAACTAACATGAGTTACATTGGGAAAAGTTGTGTAAGGATGTGGTAATTTTTTATTTACTTGGACTCCTGATTTAACAACTGAATAATTATACAGTCCCATTCAACCCTAGTTTTGTGGGTTAAATAAAGAAATCACTGGATTCTTGGTTTCATGTGAGTGTTCTGCATTGGTCACTAATCATATACGTAGTGTTTACTTACTTAAAAGTTGGAGTTTCACAGGTTGAAAGCAAGCCTTGTTGAATAGGAGCAGAGAAAACCTTTGACATGTCATGATTATGTTGTGGTGAGGGAGAAACAGCAAACTTAAATTTACTCTATGAGCTATAAGTAGTATATAAATGCACAGAAGCACCCCAAGAGAGGACTATAGCTGAAGATAGGAATAGTTTGCTCATTGGTAAATGTTAAGTCATTCCAGGCTGATGAAAGCAAATGTGAGAAGTTTGCTATTTCATTAAACAAACAAAAAAAGCATTTTCTGATTTGTGTGTTTTCTTTTGCTTTTTTTTCCTTCCTATTGTAGGCTTATGAAATGAAACTGAGGAAGTCTGTCAATCCCTCTTCAGCCTTTTTATCTACCACACTGCATAGTTTGGATAAAGTCTTGCATGGTGGAGTGCCTTGTGGATCCCTCACAGAGGTAACTTATTTAATGTTTTACTGCAGTTGCACATCACAGAAGTCAAAACTCAAAGGCAGGTTGGACTGTCTTGTGTCAGGTGCTTTAAACGTAAAATCCACAAAAATTTTGTATGAGAAGTGATTTTTTTTTTTTTAATTGTTGGAGGCTGCACTTTGTGGGTTTTGTTTTGTTTTTCTCCAGTATGTCAGGTAAGTAAGAAAACGAAGGAATTAAAAAAATTTGGTGACCCTATATTCCTTTAAAAAAGTGAAAAATTTCCCAGGAAATCTGAGAATTGTTGGCTGGATTTTACAGTGGGAAAGTTGCAGCTTAGTTCTGTGGTTAAAGCGCAAGGTGGTCTGTCAGGATTCTGTCCTCTTAATACTGACTCACTTTAAGTCATTAGTTTTTATGAAGGTACAATAGGCAATTAGGAAAAAAGTGTGAAGCACATAGGCATGAGAATGACTTTACAGAGCTTTTATATATAAATGTAACTAATTTATGCAATAAATATGTAATGCATTATTTTTAAAAAGACTGTAATTAAGGCCTGTATTATATGCGTATGCATTGCAACACAGCTGATTGCGTATCTGTCTATATCACTTTCTGGACTTTGGATGCAGTGCTACTTTATTGCTTAGAATTTTCTTTCAAGAAAAGGAAGCACTTCACCTTCTAGTACTTGGATTTCTTTATTGCCTTGCAGAAAGTGAATAATAACTTCCACAGTTTCAATACTCTGGAAAGAGGATTTGTGTAGATGCTCATAGGAGTCATTGAGTATTATAAAAATACAAAGATGCAATCTCTGGTTTAGGAATTTGCTGAGGTACAGTTGGAGATGGAGAAATATATATGTTGGAGGGTATATCAATATATGTGTGCCCTGTTCTTATGTTATTCCCCTAGCCATCTGTTGTAGGCCCTTGGTAGAGATAGAATGCAGAACTAGAGGGACACTGGCTTTATGCATTGTGGCCATACTGGCCTTCTTAAAGTAAAGTTCTGAACTTGGCTGTGTGCTTGAAATAAGTGGAAAAATATATATTGTGTTCCTCATGCTCTGAATTTAGACAGGTTGAAACCATTTTTTTCCTTGAACACTTTAACAGTCCTTACCAAGTGCTTTTATTTGTTTACTTTGGCAAATTGCCAAAGTGGACGAGTAGAAGAGAAGTTATGAAAATCTTACTATGAGGAAAATATATTTTTTCCACACCCTACAATCAAACTAGATTGACTTTTGATCTCAGAAATGACTTACGAAATCCAGTAGTGACTTAAAACATGTTAGTGTTTAAGCAACACTGAGTTTTGTTGACTATAACAGTTTCTGTTCTAGTAAACTCTTAGGTACTGAGGGGATATTACTTTTTAAAGCTTCTGAATATTTCTTTCTGTATATACACCATTCAGGTCTTTATAAAAATGTTCAAGAACACATCCACAAACTTAATGTGATATATCAGAATTATTATTTTTTCATATTTAGGCCTAGCTTTGTTACCAATTTACGATAAGAAAATCTGATTGGTAGAACTTAATCTTTAGGCGAATACTGCAAGTCTTTAAATTCTGGGAGAAAAGACTTGCTCAATTCTTGTTCTTTGAAGAGCTGTTCTTAGAAGTACTAGTGGGACATTCAGGGTCCAGAGATTGTAACTATGCTGCTGTTGAGGATAGTACCTTCAGCAGGAGATGAGTTTTTGCTTCCTAAAAATATTTTTCAGAAAAGCAGTGGCCACACTGGGTGTAGCTTGACTCCTTTTCTTTTGGATTATTGTTCATGCAGTCAGCTGATGGAATAGCACAGCCTCCTGTGTTTGAAAAGAAACAATGCTCACTTGTGGCTAGGATCTGGCTTTCCAGGATTTCTTTCTGGTCCGCTAACTTTTACTCAGTGGAGGCAGAGAATGGCTGTTCACATGCTTACACTTCTGAATTGTGCTTCTTTAGCTGAAATGTAGAGCCACTGCTGCACAGGTAGGAGAAGGAAGTAGAAAAGAGATCGATCTTTCCTGTGATATGACTTGTCCTTTAGCCTGTGGTTGGCTCTTGAGTGGTGCCCAAATCAAGGATGTCATTCTTCTGTAGGTCAACCCAGATAACCCTGTCTGTTTTGCCCTCCTTCCTGTGGCTTAGCAATTTTGAGTAAAAGATGGCCATGTAAAAGTTTGCATTAAAGGATCCTGGAATACTTTTTTCCTAATTAAAAAAATAAGTGGATGTGATCTTTTGGGTTGGAAGAGCCACGCAATTAATTTACAAGGCTGCTGCTAACAAGATCATGAATATTTGTCTTTTTTCTTAATCCTAAGTGTAGCCATCATTCATTTGTCAGTGCAGTCTATCTGATATGTTCTTGCCTAAAGGCCCAGTAGAATGGCTCTGCTGGAGCACTGATGGTCTTTAAGCTTACTGAGTACCATGTTCTTGGCATTGCTCCAGAGGGAGATCTGGGAAAAGCAGAGGTTGATATGTTGGGTGTTCTACTGGAGTTTAGCTAACTTTTGACTTCTAAAGTCTTTTTTCTTTGATGCGTTTTTTTTTTGATTTTTTTTTTAATTTGAAAGTAAGTTCTGTAAGCAGTTGATCTCAAAACATGGATGTCGGATATCTTTTTTCAGAGATGGTATAAAATAATGCTCTTCAGAAAGTAAATACAAATGCTTAATTTTCCAGAGCTATGTATTTTGTAATACTTCTGAGCTTGGTTGATTGTCACAATACTAAATTCTTAATTTTGTTTTCTAGTGTTTCCTTAAAACATTTATTTCTTTAGATATGAGAAAATCTGAAACTGTTGCTAAACTCTATTTTAAGAATGATCATACTCCATGTGTATCTATATGTAAAGGTATTTGAGGAAATGAATATATTCAAAGATAGGCTGAACTTTCATCTGACTATAAAGGAAAAGCACTGTGCAAGGAAGGGTGATGCACTTTAAGTTTTCTTCTGAAAGAACTTTCGAATATTAAGTTTTTTGTATTCTGTCATATTTTGGTTAAAAATAGAGAAACCTGGCTAATACAGTTATCTTCAATAGGTGGTCTCACTGTGTGACTTGAGATATTGAAGTCTGTACAAGACATCTAGTGGATGAGACCAGAACTGTGAGCACTGTGTCCTTCCACCGGTAGCTTGGTCTTGTCGCTGTGGCATGAGGGTGCAACCAATACTGCTGCATAATAACTATTTAATCAGAAATATTATAGAGAGAACTAAGTGGACTCCAGAAATTAGATGACTAATTTAAGAGATCAGAGGTGTTTGGAAAAAAAAAAAAAAAGTGTTGTGGTTTTTATTTGCCTTTCAGGTACAAAATATGGAGAGCACTTTAGGGCATGTATTGGGGGTTTCTCAGCAAACATAAAGGCAGAGAACAATTAAGTATGCAGAAACAGCTTCTCATTCAAACCCTGGTTCTGGAGATTTTTAAAAGCGTTTTTGGAAGAGTCATGAAATCTGAAGTAGATTCAAAGGTTGGCAGCACTGCAAGTGTTCTTCAGCATGACTGTTAGATGAAATTTTAGTAGCAAGCTGTCAAGTGTCTGCTGCTGCTGCTTTGGTGCTGTATTGCAGCTTGTGAACATTTTCAGGTGATGTTCTTTTTGAATTCAAGTGATTTTGAAACTTAATAATTTTAATTTGCTCTTTTGCAATTTCCTGGAGTATAGCTGACCAGCAGGTTGCCCTTTTGTGTTTTTGTGATTAGGCAGATATTCAAAGTCTGAGAGAAGTACTCTTCAAAAGTATGTTGTGTGCAGCATTAACTTCCTGAGTGGTGTGGCTAAATCGTTGTCTTCCTGTTACTTTACCCAGCAGTGAGGGTGGTTGGAAACTTGGAATTTGAGTACATGAACCACAGGGTTAAGACTTGTGGTGGTATCTTCTACAGCTGCTTGCTTTTTGAGTGCCAGAGGGATTTGATTTCTGTTGCGCTGTCTCAGACCATTTTTTTCCCAAACCACTATTAGGTTTTAAGTTGGAAATTAAATCACAGCTGAAATTCTGTGGTCAGATGTCAGAGCTTTTGGCCAACTCCTCTGAGAAAGAATTAAAGTAATGACTTTGTGAATATTGAAGAGTTTAATCCCCTGGTAGCTGAGGAAGAATTAGTTCCTTGTGACTTCATCCAAACTCTACAGATGTGCCAGAGAAAATAATATATAGCTTATTGAAAAATAAAAGTATATTTTATTAGGCAGAGATAAATTAAAAGCTGTGGTGGTTTTCACATTTCTATCTGGGTGGACTTGATATTTTTTTTTGAGCAAATTTAGAGTAAAAAACTAAGCAAACAAACTTTTTGCAGACACTTCATTTAAATTACATTCGTGGAATTTTAGGTTGTTTTTTTTAACTGTAACTGTATTGTTCAAAACACTGGCAGAACCAGTGGTAGCTACAATAAAATATAGCTCTTTAAAATTGTTCACTGTGGATTATTTAAAATCCCATTTTAACGCCCTCGAGAGGAATGCTGATAAAAGATGAAGTATGGTTGTCTTTGGGAATAGAAATTCTGTCCTGCTCCACTGGCTTGCTTCCTTGTACTAACTTGTACTGCAAGATTCACTGTCTTTCTCTGATCCGATGCTCATATCTTCAGACATTTTTACAGCATCTCTGCCGAATTAGCTCCTGCATCAGCCACTGAAATAAATGTTGATTCCAGTGCACCTCCCAGGCAAGGCTAAACTACAAATGTTTTTATGAGGTCTCCTCACAGTTGTCCAAACATTTTAATTTAACAACTGGTTTGATGCCCTCCCCTCACTCGTTTCAAGTCAGCTTTTTAACTAGAAACAGCTGATGAGGTTCCTTGGCTATCACAGTCTAAGGAATATGTATTGCCTCTGAAATTTTTTATATATGCTTTGGGTTCATATTAAAATGTGGCAGCTATTGTTGATACAATTTTTTGTAATTTAAGTACACTGGATGTAGGACAGATAATTGCATAAATATGACTGATTCTTGATCCATAATTCACAAAATGCAGTGTGTGCTTCTAAACAAAAATCATCTAATGCTTCTTGTGCATTAAAGCTTCAAGTAGATTGACTGGTATGGTTTGGTTTTCAGGCCTTGTTTATAGACAGAAGTGATTAAAGGGATTTTAACTAACGTGACAGTAGCTAATGTGTAACTGTAGCTAATGCAGTCTCTCAGTGATTCCTTGTAAATTTTCTGTACTTGAAGTCATGCTGCTGCTGCTTAAAATGAAACCATAGCAATACTGTAGTATCTTGTGGTGAAAGCGTGTTTGTACTTAGTGTTGTGCGTTCAGGCTCAAAAATTACTTTGATTTTGAGTGTCTGTCTGTTGTAAGGCTTCATTTTTAATTTTAAGCAACAGCTCTATATTTAAGCCTTTCTTTTGGCAGTACTAGGTGTTTTGAGGAGATATGCTTCATTTTGCAGTTTAACTTCCCTGGAGAGGCTTACTTTTATCTTGCATTATTATTTAGGCTCAACTAGCATCAGAATGAACTCACCACTCTGTGTTTTTAGTGTCTAAAGTCAGTTCAACTTTGTATTTGCTGTTTTTCAGCCTCTTTGTATTTAAGATGCCATCATCTCCCTTCCCAGAAGCAGTGATAATGTGATGTTGTATTTAAAGACCTAGTGTAGTATTAATGAACATACAATTATCTGAACACAGAGCCCAGCATTCATTTACAATCTCTGCAAGATCTGCAGCAGATAAAGAACAGCATATTGCCATCCCTAGTAGAAGAATCTTGTGCTCAAACTGGGGATCTCATCAAACAGTGTATTCTTTTGATCCTTGTGGTTTTTCTCTTGGAACCATTTTACACAAGTAGAGTGTGCTCCTTTCGAATACTGCTTAACTGCAGTAGGCTTTCAGTAAGGGCAGGTGAAAGCTTAAAATTGGCAAACTAGTCTGGATCCTGAAATGGTCTTCATGTTGAAATATGGTAATAGGGAGTTACCACCAATGACAAAACACATGCTGCATAGCAGAGTGTAGTCTCTGGGGCAGATAAAATCTGTCTTATGTATTTATGTGGTTCATATTGAACGTTAAGTTCAGTCTTTACAGGATATAAGTGATTCTCCTCGTGATTTCCAAGGGAGACCTGATTGTAACCAAGGTAATGATGATTCCTAAGCAGTCATTTACATCTGTGAACTCGTTAGCTCTGGACTTTGTTTTCAGCAATAAAGGCCATTGATATGTGAATGTCAACAGTGAATCTTCTAATTCTGCTCTATTTTAGAAGGTAGCACAGAGGAGAGAGAAGACAGCTAGGTGTGGCTCTAGGGAAGATCTTGTAAGAGAGGGGGGAGAGTAGGAGACCTCAGATATGAGAGGTAATAAAGGATGTCAGATAAAGTACCAGCATAATGCTGTGTCTGAAGAAGTGTGTGTTCTTCAGTGGATGAGGTTGACTGCAAGGCAGAGATCCAAGAGTAACTGCAAGTTTCTCTTTGTGGGCTGCATTCTATTTTTTTTATGGCTGTCTCCTCCATTGGTAATTGGAAGAGCAGCTTTGAGTTCTGGCTGATGGGTCTTAGTTAAAAGTAGAATTAGGGTCAACTGAATGTGATAACCCTTGTTTATGTTACTAATCTTTTTTATTCCAGATAACTAGCCCACCAGGTTGTGGCAAAACTCAATTTTGTATTATGGTGAGTGTTCTGGCTACACTGCCCGTAAGCATGGGAGGACTAGATGGGGCTGTTATATACATTGACACAGAGTCTGCATTCAGTGCTGAAAGGTAAGATTTAAAATTCTAGAGTACACACTTGCAACTTCTTTAGCGCCTTTTATCTTGGAGCCTTCAATTATTTTCTGAGAAAAGTATTTATAAAGTAAATACCTATGGTAGTTTTTAAGCATTTATGTGATGTATGTAGTTATTTCATAGATTATGAAATTAATTTAATAGAATGGTTTGCTCACCTTCCTAACTTGTGTGATTTTGCAGATTCCAACTGTGCTATGACAAGGTGGATGGCACACTCTCTAATTTGTAAATGGTCTTAACAGTCCTCTACCTGAGATCTTTCTTTGCAGTTTAGTCTGTGTAGTTAACAGGAAGATTTTGAGGATGTAAAAGGCCCAGCATTTTGAGTACAAAGGAAGCGGAGGTTCTTCTGTGAACAGTAGGACACAGAAGTAGTTTTCATTGAGATTTCTGTCCTATTTCTGCTGTGTGGCCCCTTGCCTTTCTTTGGCACTTCTGATTTCCATCTGCAGTAACCTCACATCTCTCCTATGTCCTTAGTGGCCATGCAGTACTACATTCCCTTACCTCTGTAACATCTCTGCTTTTATTATCTCCTGCTACGCCCATGTGACCCTAACTGCTCAGCTGTGCACTTATGGTACCCTCTAAGGGCTGAATGGACAGGAGACGCAGAGGAGACGTGTATGCACTTGTTGGTTTCCAGTCTTTCCACGTTGACTGACTGATTATCTGTTGAAATAATTCTGCAGTATTTAGTTAAAGGTAGCTCTAATTTACTTTACTTAGATAAACTATGAGGATTTTATGGTTTTTGAGATGTCTGTTTCTTTGTCACTGTTTGGAATTAGTGTATTCAGAAGTTATTAAGGGTCTGGGGAAGGACAAGTACAGTAGTCTCATCCTTGTCTGTGTAGAAAAGTGGGCAGAAAAAGGTTAATTGAAATAATTTATATATTTCAAATGACTTAGTAGTTATATCCGTGGCCTGAATTGGGAGTATCCAAAGCAAATGTATTTGTATTATTTGATCATTTGAAGTTAACATCGATGAGAAAGTGGGGTTTCTGACACTGTTTTTGTCAAGTTAATTTCACAGAAGTTTAAATAACTTTAAACTGGAAGTGTAATATATCAAAGAAAAGAGCTTCAAGTAATGGCTCTGCGAAGTATGGTGCTTGCTTCTTATATACCATTTAATTTTTATTTCAGGTCCTTGAAATGCAGATAGTAAAAAAAAAAAAGGTAGGACTTAACGGGTGAATTAAGACTTGTTGCTTAGAAGCAAATGCTAGAGAAAAAAGGTGAATGTGAAAATGAAACTGCTGAAAATAGAGTAGGATGTCGAGAGGAAATGCAGTAAAAATAAGATTATTACTGAGGATGAGAATATTTATGTATTAAATCATATTTAGTATTGCTCAGTTGGAAATGATAGATAAACACAATTTCAGCAAACAAGATGTATTTTATATTTTCTGTGTTGCGTCTTCTAAGGAACAGCACCAGTGGAGTGAGGGAGGTGCTTTTCCCCTTCTTCTTGCTACCTGTTAGACTACATCTAGATCCTGTGTCCAGTTTTGGGCTCTCGGTATGAGAAAGACATGACAAACTGCAGGGAGTTCATCAGGGGACTACCAAGATGGTTGGGGACTGGAGTGCTTGCCCTTTGTAGGGAGACTGAGGGCTTGCTCAGTCTAGGGGAGGGAAGGCTTTGGGGGGGATCTAACAGCAGCCTTCTACTACCAGTGGGAAGGCCAACAGGAAGATGGCACAGGGGTGCATGACAAGGAGACAGCAAGCATACACTGAAATCTGTTTCTGTGCTGATATATGGAGAAGTTCTTTCACCATTAAGGACAGTCAGGAATTGGGAAAAGTTGCCCAGAGGGATTATGCTGCCTCTGTTCTTGGAGGCTTCCAAAGTATGACTAGATAAAGCCTGAGGTACCTTGTTCTGACTTCATAGCTGGCACTAACTACCTTAAAGAGGATGTTGGCCTGGAGATCTGAGCTCTCCTAACCTGAATTTTCTTAGGATTACAGAATAATGCATTATTAATAGATGGCAAGTAGAAGAGATATTGGTTTTGTTGTTCTAAACACTTAAGAGGGCAAATACCCATTTGATAGCAACTTATATTAAAGGGGTTAATGGAGACATTGAGCTGGAGCTATTTCTATGTAAACTGTGGAAAGTCTCTACAGGAAGCCTGAAGAGAGTGTTTGTATCCCTGCTGCCTTTTAGGGCTGAGAGTTGTGAAGTTGTAGCTGTCATACTGCTGTAATGCTGTGCTTCTAGAAAGATACTGCATAAAACTGGCTAATTTTATTTCTTTTCTTCAAAGGCACTTCTCTTTTGTCATTCTACATGGCAGGTGTTCAGGGCGGGGAGGTTTTTGCTTCCACAAATTTTCATAGTCTTATTACTTATTCTTGAACGTGACAGTTTAGTTCAACCTAACAGCGAAGCTGAGGAGTGATCAGAATTGAAGCTGGTCTTTTAAGATATGACACTGTTTTCTGTAATTTATATATTTTCTGTTGTGTAAGAGAAAACTATGACAGTGCAGATGGTGTCTGTCATTCAGCTTTGTCGGAACACAGACTCTAGGACAGGTAAATGAAATTCCTGTGGTAAGTCCACAAATTAAAATTGTTGTAATCAGTTTTGTAGCAATTCAGTTGACCTCCAGCCAGCTATAAACTGAAAACATACCAGATTTATTTAGAGAGTCTGATGATAATTTGTTTGGTTTGCTTTTCTCTCTAGCCATACTTAGTGCTTGTGAAAAACATTAGATACAAATTTCTGTGAACCCAAGCTGAGAACAAGTGGATTTTCCACCCTATGACTGCAGAGAACATGTTCTGTGCAGTTTTTAGTCTCATTGTGACAAACAGGATGTAGATCTTAAAGAACTTTGAACCTGTATGGAGCTCTGTGAATAGTACTGCAATCTTGGGAAGATTTTGGTGTGTGATTTTAAGTCAGTCTGTATAATGATCATTGCGTTATGCATGTTCATTAGGAAGTGTACTGAAATCTCATTTCATGAACAGCATTGAATGACAGATCACTGTTGCCCAAATGGTCTGCATGATTAATTATGCAAATGGAAAGACAAATTCTGTACTTGGAAGTTCTGCAGGACAAGTTTAGACGTAGTAAGTAGTGTATCAAATGAATGACATTCAGGCTATTATAGTGAAATTGCATGCTCAGGATAGGTATACTAGCATTCAATCTTACTGTTTCTATTTTTAAACTAAATAAAGCTGATTTAAAGGAATTTTCTCAAATATATTTAACATTTTGTTTCTTGATGGAAGGGGTCCTAAATAAAAAGCATCAAGATAACCAGTAAGTTGTGCCCACAGGTATCATCCACTAGATGCCACTCTTCTCAAGCTATAGGTGGTGGGATATGTCTGCTTAAAATACAAACAATTAAGTATTTTCTGTTATTAAAAAATAAAATCTTCATCGTGGAAAAAATATGAGTTTCTAAGTTAATTTTTTTGATCATTTATTTAAGGACCTAGATAAAATTGCCTTGTATTCAGAGGAGTGGAACTTAGATCCACTGATTTGTGAAGAGTTTGCAGGCTGTCAGCATTTCTAAAACATATACCATTTAGTGTCCTCAATGATTTTTTTGTATAAAATCTCATTTAACTGGAAATGTTGGCTCCTCATCAATAAATTGTTTAGTTTTACATCTGTGCAAGAGGTTTTTTCAAAGCATGGTTTCTGAATATGAAAGTATTTTGACAACAAATAATAAATATCCAACTTCCTCTGATTTCTTTTGGTGTTATCACCAGTTATCTGATACACTTCCTTAGTCTACTCTGATAATAAACAGTGGTATGCTTAACAATTGTAATTCGAGGTTTTGAAGGGTCATGAATTTGCTAATAAGGTAATGGACACCATTTAATCATGGAATCCCTCATTCAGTTCTATCAGTGAAGCAGCCACTTAAAACTGTTCAGTCATTTCATTATATCAAGTCACGCCCGTTGTACCTGTGCTCTCTGAATGGATGAATGTTCAGTTGTAGCTGCCTGGCAGCTGGAGGCTTGGTCACTTTGTGCCACAATGTTGATTTTTTTTTTTTTCCTATGTTCTAAAAAGTGTGTTTTCTTAAGATTTTATAAGCCCTTTGTAAAAATAGGTAAATGGCACAATGGAAATGGATTCAGTAAAAAAATCTCTCAGCCAGATGACCTTGTTCTTGTTTTTAAGGAGAGATTATCTGTGAAAAGATTTTTCCCTTTGGCTGGCATACTCGCTATACGCGTACTGCTTGTATAAGTACTCGTAGGTGAACTGGGCTCTGTTTTTTGCAGTCCTGCTTCCACGTTAGCTGTATGTTGTAATGGACTTTGTTTGTTACCAGCTTGTTAAATTTCTGTGATGACACAAGGTCTACTTCATGATTTCACTGCAAGGTAAAGGTGGAGGGGAAGATGGTTTGAGTTGGAGAGTAACTTTGTTTAAATGAAAATAGTATTTAGATGTAATAATTAAAATAGGAGAGTGCTTGGCCATTGAGTGGAACTTTTTGTACAAAACTCAAGGAACTTTGCATTCAGTAACTATAAACTTTGAGCTTCCTTTTACAGGTGATAGGCCATTCCTTTGCATACAGACACATTATGTCTTTCCCTAGTGCACCGCTGACTTCAGCATCATTGGGAAGAGAACCTAACTGTTCTGACTTCCAGTATTTCAGTCTGACTGCAAAAGTATGCTTTTCCTTTGAAGAAGATTTCCAGTATTATTTGGTATCTGCTTATCATTCAGAGGCTTACTTTGTTTTCTTTGTGAATACTTGATGCCTTATTACTCCATGTTATTCCTTTTGCAGTGTTATGCTTTCTGTTTTTTTGATAGGTTGATTGAGATAGCAGGAAGCAGATTCCCTACTTATTTTGACTCAGATGAAAAGCTGTTCTGCATGACCAGTAGCGTTCACCTGTATCGAGAGCTGACTTGTGGCGCTGTACTGAATAGGTACTCTTTTCCAGAGTTTAAAAAAAACAAAGACCATTTTGACTGGATTATCTGTAACAATATTTGGTTTGTATCAAAGTTTTATGAAGAGTAATTCACTTACTTGAGGCCTTTTCGTGTTGATGACAGCACGGTCTCAAACAAAGTAAAACTTGTACAGAAAGACTGACATTGTTCTTCTCATTTCATAGCATGTGACTAATCCAGTTTATGTTATCTTATTTCTGATAGACAATTTCTATATTACCTGATCCCTGTAAACATTTAAAGGAAAGTGTTCATGTGACAGGTCTTGTCTTGTCTTGGATTGTGGAGCGACCATACTATAAGAGTTAAGTTTTCCATGAAATAGGAGTTTGCTCCTCCAAAGTACAGTTTACTTCCAGGAAGACCGGGACCACACCAGCAGCGGGAGAGAGGAATCTTCTAACAGTTCTTAACCTGAATGCTGTTGTTGGCAGTGTTGTATTGTCATGTTGTTACCTTAGGTTAATTTGTGAATACATTTTGCAATGCAAACGAATTAAGTTGTAGTTTAGCATCATCTTGTGTATTAGTGGAAGAATTCTAAGACTAGTTTCTCCTTCTAGTGCAGCTTTCAGAGAACAGCTAGTAGCATATTATGAACAGATTAGGTTTGGCATACTGTCTTTGGCGGTATATGGAAACGAATTTGACCTGCATATATAGACATGAAGAATTCTGGTGTTGGACCTCTTTTGGAGAGGTCTTGCCTTGGGTTATGTAGCCCACTGGAGCCTCAGATGTCTTTCCAGATCTCTTCAGTACATGCAGATGTTAGTGGAGGTGGTGTGTGAGGGGGAAGAAGAGGCACTGATTTTCAGCTTATTAAAGTAAACTTTTTATTTAAATAATTTCAGGGTTATAAGGTTCTATGGTGTAAACGATCTTTATCAGTGACTGGGTTGTTTTTGGTTTTTTTAGGATTATGTCTTTGGAAGAAGAAATTATTTCAAAGAAAGTTAAACTCATAATTATTGACTCTGTTGCTTCAGTTGTCAGAAAGGAGTTTGACACAAAACTCCAAGGCAACCTGGCAGAGAGAAGTAACTTTTTGGCAAGAGGAGCATCAGTGTTGAAGTATTTGGCAGAGGAGTTCTCAATACCAGTAAGTTCTTCCTCCTTTCTTAAGTTTTTGCCTTACAGTATCAAGTAATAAAATCTGAGAAGAATGAAAATGGCAGGCAGATGAAAACCAGAAAAAGCCAGTTGGAAAATAGTTGGGGAACAGAGGAACAGTAACTGTTCTGCTTGGTGGTTTTTGTTATTTTTTCTAATTTTATTTTATTTAGGACTTTAAATAAGGGTTTACAGGATTCTCGAACTGTATTTCAGTGCTTTGTTTTTTATTTTTTTCTTAAATCTTTTATTTTGTTGCCATTAAATATTGCTTACTCTGATGGTTCTGTTCTAATGTAATGCTTATCTAACTAGTGCATACTCTGATTAGATGAAGATTTTTTTCTGCCTCTGTCACTTCTACTTAAGTTTATAGAATCTCAAAAGGCCTTATGCTCTGGAGCAGTACAAATTGCTGTTGTGACTGATATTTTATGCTAATTAATGCAGAAAGGAAGATCACAGCTCAGCAAATCACTGTCTGTGGACTTGCCCCTAAAGTACAAAGGAAGAGACAGACACTCACTGCAGGGACTGGGTGGAACTGATCAAAAAGTGTTTCAGAAGATTTAAGCTTCATAAATGCGCATGTGTGTGTTCCTTCATTATATGATCAGTGGAGGATCATATCAGTTCAAAAGATGTCATTGAGACTCAACTCTTGAAAGTATTTCCTAGTATGGATAACTTACTCATCACTCCAGTATAAGAGAGAAACTGTGGCAAGAACTTGAGTAAGACCAGTGAGGCCTTTTCTCTCTGAGACTCCTGAGGTCACAGCAGCTATCATACCATGCATGTCAGAGGTGTGGAACTGGCTGACTTAAGAGAAATGGATTTCATTCTCCCATGTAATTTCTAAAGATGGGGAAAATGAAACCCTGTATAAGTGCCTTTAAAGTTCAGCTACAAAAGATAGTGTCTTAGTTAGTGTGCCCAATGTTTATAGTGCTTTCAAAAGCCAGGGAAGAATGGTGTGGAAGTATGTATGCTCTCATATTTTGGGAAAATGTCATGCAGCCCTTTGAGAAAGGGAAGTTTTATGGGAAGATACCCTTCTTCTCTATTTACTTCTCCTTTAGACACTCCCTGCTCCCCCCTTCACCTTCATTAAAATGATGAAGCTGAGCTGAATTGGAGCCTCTGACAGTTCAGACTGCTGTCCTGCTTATAGTCAGAGGGACAGTGTCGATATTCACAGAAGTCTTAGAGTTGCACAATATGAAGTAACCTAAAATTATGATCCTAATTCATCCTATGTAAGAAGAAAATAAAGCTCAAACATTTAAAGGTTTCCATTACATTATAGCTAACCTGTTTGCTTTAAGGCATCTGTGATACCTGGTGTGCTGGTCTGTCCTCCTTTCTCACTGAACGCTTTGGTAAGGAGTTCTGGGATTTTGGGCAGGAACTTGTGCTGTGGTCACAGCTCTGTCTTTTTCAGTTGGTCCGTGAGGTATCTTATGTTTTAAATAAAACCTTTAAAGATCTCTGCAATTACGTTTAAATAAACAGATTGAAAGCTTGTATATTTTTAAGCACTATTGATCAGGTTTATCCAATGGAAATACAAGGTTTATTATTAGGTTTATTCAATGGAAATACGACTGTATTTTCATTTATTGACATCTTTAAGCACATTGCTTCTCTGTTCATTCTGGAGTATTTTTAAAGATTTGTTAAATTTTATGTTATGAAATAAACTGCTGGGGGACGTTGGCTAGAGATTTGGCTTCTTGCAAACATGGATTCCTAGGCAAGGCTGCGTATGAGTAACATGCAAAATCCAGCATCAGAGTGTGTTATGCATCTGCACATGTTGGTGCCTACCAGAGTTAAGGCTGCTGTAGCTTACATTGCATTAACTCCTGCTACTTGAGGTTACAGCGTACCTAGGGTTCTCACTGTAAATAACTGTGTTGGAATTATTTCAGATGTTTTACTTACCTAAATAATCATAAATTTGGGACTAAAAGAACATTAGTAAGGTTGCAAAATCACTAATAAATTTGACACATGAAACAATATGTGCCACTTAGTTATACTGATTCTGCCATGAAATAAATACTGAGTTGGGCAACAAATAAGGGGACTCAGTCTGAGACTGAAAAAGATTTGGAGTTGATGACTGATAGGAGTTGAACTTGAAGTCAATCCTTTTGGCTGTAGCTAAAAGGTCTGATGAAAAACTTTGAGTAGTTAAGCAAGGGAACTGGAAAAAAGGAGGTTGTGTCCTATATATTAGTACATCTGGTGTTAATAGTCCAGGGAGGATAGTGGAAAATCAACTTCCAGAGAATAGCCTTGAAAATGACTGGGAGAAGGAGGAGCAGTCTTAGTAATTAAGATGTAAGGTGCTTGCTTTGTTTAGCTTAGCTAAGGAAATGTTAAGGGTTTCTTCGTGAGTCAGTATGTACCTACCTGAGAAAGAGGTATTTGATAAAAGCAACCTTCTTTTCAGCTGACAAAGGTACACCACAGTTCTGTGGTTGGAAACTGAATTAAGCAAGTTCAGACTTCAAATAAGGAATGTGTTCTTTCTGGACTAATTAATCATTGGAATGCATTACTAAACATAAATAGCTTCTTGTCACTGAGTATTTTTAAATGGGCTTTTTCCCCCATTTCCTAAAAAAGAAATGGGTTCAAATAGGATTAAATCTGGGGAAACCCTGTACTACCATGTTATGCTGCAGTTCAAATGAGTTTAACACAGTTCCTCTGTTGGCGTTTTAAATTCTCTAACTGCTTATAACTGTGTGTTCAGGGTGTCAGGATACCGAGTTTGATGTACAAAAGTGACTGGCATTCATAGTTTTTCCTGAACTCAAGGGGAGCTGTTTCAAACCCAAGTAGCTCTATGTGGTATGAAGTATTCAGGGAAAAAAGCTGACCTTATGTGCCTTGAAACTGATGGTCATTGTTCAGTAACCTCTCTGCACCTCTATTTTCAGTTTGTAAAATGAGAATAACAGAGCTGTTAGTTGTGAGGCTAAGGTCATTACTGTTAAGAAAGCACTTGTACTGTGTCTGTGAACAATGTGTAGATGCTCATTGGAAAGTAACACTTGCCACCCTCAGTGTAAAATTTAAATAATGTGTAGTAAATGAAACCTTAACCCATCTTTTAAGATGAGAAAAAAATATAAACCATATTCATTAAATGGCACCATCTTAGCCACTGAATGAAGGTTGTGTGATTGTAAATTTTTGCTTGACATAATTGTTTTTTAATTTTTTTGGTTTGTAAAGTACAGAGAAACAGGAAGCTTTTTTTTTCCTTATGTGTAAATATTAGTAAAACATAAGTTGTTTCTAAAAAAGTGAAACATGATACCTGATTTTCCATTTGATTCCTTTTTCTATTGAACTTAGTAGTAAGCCCAGTTCCATCCTAGGCTCTTCAAATGATGCCAGGGCAAGGGACTGCACAGGGTTTGGATTGCTTCTGGTCTATTGACAGGCCACCTGGCAGCCATACTGATGGCTCAACAGTCACTGAAGCTTTTTTCTACATGGAATACTGTGTCGCAGTGTCCCTTTTCCCCCCTCCCTTCACACAGTGGTGACCAAAACCTACTTTTTTCTGCCAGATTTGATTGAAACTATGCAATCAGATCAAAAGCAATTGCTAGAAACTGCTTGACTATAAATCAAACAAAAAGCTCTTTATTCTGGAACTCCAGTGAATATGTAAAGTTATATGAAAAGTTTACATTACATTTATATGTTTTAGAGCATGTTGTACCTGAGAGCATTTGGATCTGAGTTCTGTTACGTGTGTTGATGCTGTCTACCAGATTACATAAATATTTATGCATCAGTAATCAGTCCTATATGGTTCCACTCTCGTTTCCTTTCTTAGCCTTCTTAAAAAGAATAGAAAACAAAATACACTTTAGATTTTCTTTATTCTCTTCTTCCATATTCATAGGAATCTATTTATTAAGTGGTATTCAGTAAAAGTAGTTCAGTGTTCATGCTGGCTGAGAGAGAAATGTCTCCATTTCAGTGAAGATGTTACTGTAAAAGAGCTGAAACTAAAACCCAATGTGACTAGAATTGTTCTTGAGAATTAAGTGTTTAGCTTATAAAAATTTTTATTTATAAAACCTGGTCTTCTAGTTGTTAATACTTGAGAAAATGTGAGAAGCTGGCTAGACACCTCCATGGAAAAGCACTCTAAAAGTGACAGTTGCAAAACGAGCTTTAAATGTTCTTTTAAATGTCAAATTGAGACTGAAGATGAAATTTGCTTTGTAAATCCCCAAGGCTAATCAAATTACAACTCTGTCCTTTATACTTTTTGTCTGGGTTGTGTTCTTAGATCTGTGAAGTGAACCTTTGTTATTTATGATAAGCATGTTGGTTGTCATTACTACCAGCAAATGTATAATAGTATCGTTCATTTTTTTATTGTTCTTTCTGAGAATATGAGGAGAGATATTAGGAGGAGACACTTTCATCTCTCACTTGTGATTTATAGTGCAAATGAAAGACAAACCTTATGTAACTAATTCTAATGTTTTTATTTGCTATGCTAAAATAAATTAACAGTAGACAAGAAGCCCATAATTTCCACAGGTAATATTTTTTTCCCCTTTAGATGCCACACGCTCTATTTAAAAACTAAAAATTCACTTTGTCAGTATTGATACTATGACAGAAACTCCGTTCTCACATTTTTTCAGTACTTCATACTCACGCATTCTGCTCTGTAAACTTACACCCAAGATTTTAATTTTCTTTGGAAAGCCAAATGTTTGGCTAAATACATATTTGTTTTTATGTTGTGTAAGTTTTTTTTCTTCTTGAAATCAATTTATATGCACAGATTACTTGACATCTGCAGTGCCTTTTCTGCTGTCTGGTTAAGTGTGTTTAATTGTATCATCGGGGCTTCCTGCAGTAAAGTGTCTCAAGATGGAAGTGCTTCTTGGCAAAGAGAGAATATTCAAACAGTTAATTTTCTCTTTCTTTATAAGCAAG